CCGCCACTGCCCTCGCCGCCACTGCCCTCGCCGCCACTGCCCTCGCCGCCGCCTCTCCCGCCACAGGCGCCGCTGCCAGAGCCGCGCGCGCCGCTCGAGACGGACCCCTCCTCCACGGCCACCGACCCGACTGACACCGGCGCCGGGGCGCCAGCCGGGGCGGCGGCGGCTGCGGCGCCTCCCGTGGCGATGCCTCCCCTCGACCTGCTGGCCAAGCTGCCGAGGTCGAAGGGGAGCAAGGAGCCTGCCGACGCGTGGGAGAAGCAGACCCTCTCCGACAAGTGGTCCGAGCGCAAGGCGCCGCGGCCAGACTCGCACCCGACCACGCCCTCTGACCACACGCCCTCTGAAGCTCGCACCCGCTCCTCCCTACCGCCGATACACACCCTCTCTCGCCCTCCCTCCCCACCTGTTCGCTCCTTCCCCCCCTCTCCCCTCCCCCTCCCCTCCAGGCGGCGGCCGACCTCGTCGCGTCGCTGCTCGAGGGGCAGAGCTCGCTCAAGCCGGCCGGCCACGTGCTGGCGGGGGAGAGCCCCTCAGGCGGCTCTGGAGTGATGAATGGCTGGTGGGCTCACTTAGGCCGACCACGGGCTGGTGCTGCGGCCGCTCAAGCGGCTCTACCAGGACGCCAACGTCAACGTCGCCGCCTCCGCCATTAAAGCTACCGGTGCGACAGAGGGAGCGAGAGGAAGAGGACGAGAGAGAGGGGAGAGCGAGAGGGAGAGAGAGACAGAGAGAGACAGAGAGAGACAGAGAGAGAGGCTGTGGCGCCGGTAGGATTGCTCGCGGGCCTGCTCGGGTCCGACTTTAGCGCGCTTGCGCGGCGGACTGCGCCGGCGCTCCTCGAGAAAGGCGCCGACAAGAAGGCGGTCGTCGCCGAGGCGGTGAGGGGCTGCCTCGCCGCCCTCTCGACCGGCTCGTGCCTCACGCTGGCCGAGGCGGCCGAGCTCGCCCTCGCCGCCATGAGCAGGAGCACAAACACGCAGCTCCGCTCGACCGCCGCGCGATGGCTCGCGGCCGCCGTCTCCGCCGCCGACGCCGAGGGGGTGGGGCGCGCCCTCGACGCCCTCGACGCGCCGCTGCAGCTGCTGGAAGAGGACGCGACGGCCGAGGTCTGCGCACCGCCGCCGTGTATGCACCACCGCCGACCCCCTCGTACCCCAGCCCTCACCACCACATCCCGCACCACCCCCCGGGGCCACCCCTCGCCTCCTCCAGGTACGCGCCCTCGGGCTCGAGGCTGCGGCGGCCGTCGGCCGAAAGCTGCCCTCGGAGGCCGCAGGCGCGTGGCTCGGCCAGATGCCGCCCAAGCGAGCCGAGCGCGTCGGAAAGGCGCTCGGCGGTGGGAGTGGCGGCGGCGCGGCGGCGGCTGCTCCCCCCAAGCGGCCGTCAGGCGAGGCGGCGTCTTTGAAGGCGCCCGCGGCCGCGCCGGCAAGGGCGCCCTCGGCGGCACCGGCGCGGCCAGCCTCGATGACGGCGCCGAGCCAGGTGCGGCCGCCCGCCCGTCAGGCGTCGCAGCCCTCTGTGGGCGGCGGCCGCTCTTCGGGCGCGGCGGCGGACGGCGCGAAGAAGGGCGGCGCGCCGCGTCGGAAGAAGGCGTCCTCCGGTGGCGGCGGAGGCGCGGGCGAGGAGCGGTGGCGCGAGCCCGACCTGCCCTCCTCCGACGACCTGCCGCCCGCCCTCGAGTCGGAGGATTTGCCTCCTGCGGCGGTGCGGTCGGCGATGGCGGACGCATCCTGGTCGGCGCGCGCGCAGGCTCTGGGCGAGGTTGCCGCACAGGCTGCCGGCGGCGGAGCGGACGCCCTCTCGCCGCTGCGCGCGGAGCTGCTGCTCTGGCAGCTCGGCGCGCTCCTCGCCAAGGAGAAGAACGAGCAGGTCGCCGCGCGCGCCCTCGAGGCGGTCGCGGCGGTCGCGGCCGCCGCGCCGCTCGTGGCGCGCCGCTCGGCCGCTCGCGTCGTCGGGCTGGCGGCGGAGAAGCTGGCGGCGAAGAAGGCGAAGCCCGCGGCGACGCAGGCGCTGCTCTGCCTGAGCGAGGCGTGCGGGCCGAGTTGGGTGCTCGCGCAGCTGCAGGTGAACTCATACCCCTGCATGTGTAGCCGGTAGCACTCTCACACCAGACGCCGAGTGCAGTGCGTGCGCCTGTTTGGAGCTGGTGACTCCACAGTCATCATACAGTGGTATGATGGGTGACTCCACACTGCAGGCGGTCGCTCCGTCGCACAAGAACCCGAAGGTCTTCGGCGAGTCCCTCGCCGCCGCCACCGCCATCCTCGCGGCCTTCTCCACGCCCGCCCTCTCCGCTTCCGCCGCCGTGAGCTTCGCGGTCGCCGCTTGTTCTCGCGCGAAAGCAAGAGGCTTGCCCCAGACTCAGCCGAGATCTCCCCGCTGTGCAGATCCCTGCCTTCGACTCGCGCGATGCGTCGGTGCGCGAGGCGGCGCACAAGCTGGTGGTCGCGCTGTGCGCCGCTGTCGGCCCCGCCCTCCTCCAGTCACCCCTCCTCGCCGACGTGCGCGAGGTGACCCGCCCACCACCAGCCCACGACCCGCCCTCGCCATGCAGACGACGCCGTCCATGACGTGTCCACTCCCGCTCCCAGCTCCGCCTCTCTATGGCAGGTGACGCGCAAGCAGCTCGCCGCCGATGCGGCCAAGTTGAGCGGTGCGCCGGCGCCGCCCGCCGCCTCGCGCTTCTTCAAGCACTCCGCCTCGTGCGGCGGTGGCGGCGCACCCGACGGTGGCGGCGGTGGCGGCGGCCATGGCGGCGGCGGCGCGGCAGTCGATGAGCTGATTCCCCGCGTCGATTTGCTCCGAGACAAGGTGAAGGCCGACACGATCGCGAAGCTGCGCTCGGGCGCGTGGAAGGAGCGCAAGGAGGCGCTCGACGTGGTCGCCGCCGCGCTGAGCGAGTCGCCTCGCCTCGGGCCGGTCCGTGAGTCGCCGAGTAGTGGCTGAGAGTGGCCGGGATGAGAGGCGTTGCCGGGCGCGTAGGTCGTCGGGCCGCTGCTTGAGGCGCTCGCCCCGCGCGTCGCTGACAAGCAGCAGGTCCTCGCCATCGGTGCGCTCAACGCCATCGGCGCGGTCGGGACTGGCGTCGGCAAGGCGGTGCGGCCTCACGTCCGGACGACGCTGCCGGCGGTGGCGGTCGCCCTCGGCGACGGCAAGGCACCGCGCGCACCGGGCCTCGCACTTCCCATGCCGTTGGGTTGTGCGCCTACCTTCGGGCGTGGAGATGCGGGGACCTGGCGCCTGCCCCACACTGGCGTGTGGAGAATCCTACCCTCACCCCTCGCGCTCAGGCGGCCATTCGCGAGGCGGCGATGGCTGCGCTCGAGAGGTGGGTGGCAGAGGTGTCGTTTGAGCCGATGCTGCCCCTGCTACCCACCGCTCTGGGCATGGAGGCCCCCGCGGGGCGCGCCTCCGCGCTCCGCTGGCTCTGCACGCACACGGCGCAGCTCGACGGCGCCGCCGAGGCGCGGAGACACCTCCGAGACAGTTCCAGTCTCTCCCTCACACCGCTGGGCCCAGCCAGCCCAATGCCTTGTGTGCCCCTCACCGTGGCGCCCGCACCGCACCGCGCCGCCTCCGCCACGGCACGCCACGCCGTGCCGGTGACCTGTCCGCACGCCACGCCTGTGAGGTGCGCCCTCTCCTACCCCCTCTCCTGCGCAACCTCGACGACCGCACTCCCGACGTGCGTGCCGCGGCGGCGGCGGCGCTCGAGGCGCTCCTCTCCGCGAAGCTCCTCGCCGGGGACGACGTGCACGCGCGGCCCAAGACCGGACACGCCGCCGGGCGGCACCCCCCCCACACCCCGCCCGCCTCGTTGCCACTGCGTAGGTCGAGGCGCAGCTCGGCGAGCTCGACACCGCCACCGCCAAAAAGTTGCGCCCCGCTGTGGCCAAGCTCTGCCGCAAGACCGCGTCGCCCGCCCCTGCCGGCGAGCCCGCCGCGCCGCTCCCGCCACCCGCGAGGGGACAAGGGCCACCCGCGAGGGCCGTTTCTCTCGCGCCAAAGCCGTTGCGTGCCGCCGCGGCGGCCGGTCGGAAGGACGTGTCCGAGGATGCGTCCGGCCGAGCCGCGACCAGGCCGGGCCTCGCGCGTTCCTCCACGTTCGGCGCGCTGCCGGCCTACAAGAGTGCGGCGCAGCTGCGCGCGGCCGCGGCTACCTCGGCCACGGCCGCGCCGCCGCCCGCCGCGTCGCCTGCCGCGCCTCAAGCCGCTCCCGCGGTAGCACCGCCCGTCGCAGCGCCGCCCGCCGCAGAGGCCGCGGACGCAGAGGCGCGCGCCCCTGCACCGCGCCCCATGCGGCCGCCTGCGGCAGCGGCCGAGCGAGCCGCGCCGGTTTGCGAGGGGGGACGGGCCAGGCCCCCTCCGACGTCTCGCCCCACCGAGGCGGCGGCGGCGAGCAGCAGGGCCGTCGAGTCTGCGCCGTTGGGAGGCAGGGCGGCCGCCAGCTCGAGCGCGCACACGCCCCGCAAGTCGGCGGCGCGCAAGGGCCTCGCCGACGACGTGTCGACGGTGCACACACCCCGTACCCCCCCCTCCCCCCCCCCTCCCTGCCCGCTCCCTGCCCCCTCCCTGCCCGCGCGCGTGCTCGCACCTCACTTCACCCTCCACCTTGCGAGCCCCCTTGCCCCCTCTGTTCTCTTAGGTTGGCTCTCAGCGGTCCGCCGAGCCGGACGTCCTCCATGCGCTCACCGCCCTCTCCAAGGCGGTGGAGTCGTCCCCCGAGGCGGTGGCCGACGTGCTGCCACCGCTCTGCGAGGCGCTCTGCCTGCGGCTGCGCTCCGCGCTGCGCGCGCCGTCCGCGTTGCCGCAGTGCAAGAAGTCTCTCCAGCTGCTCATCGACCTCCTCGGCTGCGTGCGGCTCGTGGGCTCGCTCGAACAGCCGCAGATCCGCCTGCTCGTGCTCGAGCTGCTTGAGCGGCTCCTCGACCCGTGCCTCGCCGACTTCGGCTCGGAGGCTCCCCTCCCTTGCTGCCACCGTCCTCGCCTCCGCCCGCACCATCGCCGCTCTCCGCTGACCTACTCGCCGCCACCGCTGCTGATGCCGCCGCCGCTGCCCTGACCCCCCCCCCCACCCACCCACCCGTCCACCCGTCCACCCGTCCACCCGTCCAACCGTCCACCCGTCCACCCAACCCCGGTGCGCGCGCGCCTCAGACGGCGCAACACCTGCTCGAGTCGCTCAACTTCATCATGTTGAGGCTGCTGCAGCACTCTCCGCGCGGGCCGACCCTCTGTGCGCTGCTGCAGTTGCTCGGTGAGAAGGCGGCGCTCCCCTCGCAGCGCGAGCTGTCCGCCCTGGTCCTCAAGTGCCTCGCCAAGCTCAACAAGACGCTCGGCGAGACGGATGGCGCGTCGGGTCGGCTTGCCTCCACCCCGTACTCACGTCCTGGACGCGTCCCCGCAGGCGAGATGGCGCGCCAGATCGACCTGCCGCCTGTGGTGCACGCCCTCGCCTCCCTCCGAGCGACTATCACCGCGGCCGAGCGCGACGCGCCGACCGAGCTGCTCGCGCAGATCCGCGCGTCCTCGGACGCAACGCTCGCTGCAATCGTGGAGGTGCGCAGCGCCGAGGTGCTCGGCTGCCTGCACGGCGAGGTTCGCGGGGGCGCGACTCGCACGCCGCGGAGGGCGAAGGTGCCCGCCTCCTTCGCGCCGCTGCTCGTGCAGGTCCACGCCCACCTCGGCATGCCACCGCCGTCGCCGGCCCGCCCCCGCTCGCGCGCGAGCGCGATGACGCCCTCCTCGCTGAGCGCCGTCCTCCGGACACCGGGCCGCTCCTCCGCCACGCCGCGCTCCCTTGCCAAGCCGGAGGCTGCAGGAGCGGCTTCGCCTCCGCCGAGCCGGCGCACATCCTCCCGCGCAGCGACGCCAGTCCGGCCGTCCGACAAGGGCACGCCGCGCAAGCCTTCGGCACCCGCCACGCCGGGCGGGTCGGCGCGCCGCCAGCTCCTCAGCAACGATGCCGCCGCCGACGCCACGGAGGCCGCGGGCGGTCCGACTGTGATCGCTTCTGCGCTCGCCAGGCTCGACGAGATGAAGAAGAGATACAACATCCCCGTGACACCTGCGCGCGCGCACGCCGCCGCCGCCGGTACTACCACCGCTTCGACGCCCAGTGCGGCGGCGGCGTCGATTCAAAAGGCTCGCGCCAAGATTGCAAAGCACGAGCAAGAGGCGCATAAGCTGTGAACCACCACATGGGACCCAACGCCGCGTCTACACCCGTCACGCTTTCCCATCTCGCTACCTGCGCGCGACGACCGACGGCTGACGGGAGCGGGAGGCGGCCGACGCGTAGATCATGGTGTGCTGCTCGTTCGTTCGAGGGTTCGTACTTCGTAGGGCCTGTGTCTTCGTGAAAGCTAAGATCGCGACGGGCGGATCCGAGTAAGCTGAAAGAAAGTGTTCACACTCACACACACACACTGTTCAAGTGAAGGATAGGGTAAGCAGGTGAGCCGAGTAATCTCTGCGCGCAGCGCGGAATTTTGTTGTGAGTGTCCGAGTTGCGAGTAATCGAAAAGTTTGTTCGATTCCGAGTAACCGCTCGCCGAGTGATCTGTGAAGAAAGCAGATTCCAAGGAATCTGTAAATCTTCCCAAAATGTCTAATATGGCACAGCTCCACGGGGAGACCGCCGCGCCAGCGCCGCGCGGAGGGTCGTGTCTCGTGAGCGGTGTAAACTATTTAGTTGGAATCCTCTCTTGCACTCTTGGTGGTGAGAGAGATATTTGTGAAAACAACCAACACAGTAGATTCTTGTGGTATGTGGTGGTGGTGGTGGTGGTGGTGGTGGTGGTGTGTGTGTGTGGTGGTGGTGGTGGTGGTGGTGGTGGTGGTGTGTGTGTGTGGTGGTGGTGGTGGTGGTGGTGGTGGTGGTGGTGGTGGTGTGGTGGTGGTGGTGGTAGTGGTGGTGGTGTTGTGTATGTGTGTGTGTGTGTGTGTGTGTGTGTGTGTGTGTGTGTGTGTGTGTGTGTGTGTGTGTGTGTGTGTGTGTGTGTGTGTGCGTGTGCACTACACTAAAGCCTGACAAATGCTGAAACCCATACGGAACGGACGACGGTCGACGCTCGATGCCGCGGTCTTTCAAACGAGTTCATTCTCGCTGAGCTTGGCACTGACCCCAGACGCGGTACTCCTAGCCGCAGTCCCTGCCTCTACCGCCGCCGTCCGGCCCCTTAGCTTTCTGCAAAACTCATCCCACAGCTCGACCTTCTGCACGATAAAGAGGTAGCAGCTGACCTGACAGAAGTGGCCGACATTGCCTACCTTTTCATTCCAGCCGCCCTGCACGGGTCTTCATAGTAGACCGGAGGGCTACGAGAAGCCTTCACACTCCAAGGGGCTGCCCCACTCCCCACCCCCCCCTCTCACCCCCCACCCCCCCTGCAGTAGCATACACCCGGCCTGCCAAAATTGTACCGTGAAAAAGGACTTGTGAGAACACACATGCCCCTCTAGAGCTCTTACACCGAGGGGTTTTGACCTGCATGCCCCTAGAGCTCTTACACCGAGGGGTTTTGACCTGCTTTGAGGACCTATCTGTGGGCTCTCGACCCACAAGGATAGGTCCGTGAATGAAGCAACAGCCCAGTGAGTGAACGGCGATTGCGAGCCGAACAGGCAGCTAGCGATGGCAACCGGCTGGAGCACACGCGTTCGCGGGGATTCCCTGGTTCCATTTACACGGTCAAAGCACGAAAAGAGTATACGAAGTAATCCCGTTTTCTTGCTCTTTCACAGTCTCACGACCACACCCCACGACCCCACACGCAGCACAATCAATATGGAAGGTTTTTCCTTCGCTCCCTCTGATCCTCCTCGCTCCCCTCAAAGCTCGAGGAAGGTTCGCGTTCCCTCTCCGAGATCATCTCTTGCTCCCCCCGCGATGGGGAGCATGTTCCATAACGTCGTGGGGGGTCGGACCCCCCCTCATTACAGTAGCATATGCGTTCGGTGTGCACACAATATTCGCTGTGTATGTCGACCTAAAGCTCGGCGGCCGTCGCTCGAGCGCCGGCCGACTCCCTGACGCACACGCAGACACGCACAGGACGCACACGAGGGTAAAATATCGCAAGAAAACTTTTTGCGGTTCGCGCGCGTCGTGTCGTGTGTGCGCGAACTGTGATATATAAAACGTGTGTGGGGGGAGAGGAAGTTTGCGCGTCGCCGCTCGGATCAGATAATATGCTTATTGCACAGGACAAAAGACATGGAGGGCAGCGCGTGTGCCGATACATCCGCAGGCAAGAGGTCCCAACCCCCCTGCCTGCCTGCCGCCTCTCAGCATTGCTCTCCGAGACACAGCAGGGGGGAACCGTAGGCGTAGCCGTTGGCTTGCGCATGCAGCCCCGGAGCACCGACAGAGCTTGCGCCCACCTCCACAGCACCAACGGTCGCCCCCACACGACGAGCGTGGCTACGCCCGGGATAGTTACACGAGTATCGAGGGAACGCGAGTCTGCCGACTGAAGCACGGCGGCGGTGGCGCCGCGGGCCCGTCAGGCGCCCGGGGCCGTCGGCTTTTTCCCCCGCACCATGAAAGATCCGACGCGAGCGTTGATCGCCGAGATGGCCGACTCCTTTGGCGGGGCGCCCGGCACCTCTGGACTGCCCTCTGGCACCCGCCCGAGCGACGCAGTGCTGCCACCTTTGTTGGTGCGCGCCGAGAGCTTGCGCAGCTCGTCAATGTCGGACGACTGCGCCTTGGCCAGCTGGCCCTCTGCAAAGGCGAGTGTTTTGACGGTGGTCGAGAGGTCGGACGTGCTCGAGTCGGACCCGCTCTTGCCCGCCAAGCTGCCGCGCTCCTTCTCCTCCTGCTGCCGCTGGTACGCAATGAGGTAGGACGTGTCGAAGACGTGGCCGTGATCGAGCACCACCTGCGAGCGCGGCGCGCACACAGCGTGGGCAGCCGCATGAAGTGCCTTCTCAGCGGCGGGGCGAGAGATGCACCTTCAGCGCCTTTGCCCACGCCTCGCGCTCCGACTTCGACTCGGCGTACAGGTCCAGCCGGCGCTCCGGCAGGATCTTTTGCGTGTCTGCGTCCCAGATGCCGGGCACGATGATGGAGAAGGCGTTCTCATCGATCGTGCCGTCCTTGCGCTTCTCGACCAGCTTCTGCATGATGCCCGGGTTGTCCATCTTCTTAAGGACGGTCGTCTGGGCGCCGATACCGATGGCCTGTGGCGAGGGTGGCGGACGCGTCACGGAAAGCGGGGTGGGCGGGAGGCGGGCAGCCAGTCGTCTGTCTGTCTTGCGGGCAGGGATGCGGGCAGAGCGAACCCCGACGTGGGCCAGGATGACCGTCTTGTTTGCAATCACCTGTCGACAGGGGAGTTGGCGCCAGCGTCTGGGGCCGGGTGGGTGCGAGGCAGAGCCGGGCTGTGCGTCGGTGTCGCCTTGTTGGTCTTGGACATGAACGTGGGCTTGGCAGCCTTGGCGGGCTCGCCCTGCTCCGAAGGCTTGCACCTGGGTGTGGAGGCGGAGAGTGAGCCGAGGGGGGCTGTGGTCTGGAGCCTTGTCGGCCTTGGCGGCCCTACCGGGGGCGCCAACAGCGAGCATGGCGGGTGGGGCAGGCAGTTTGAGAGAGGGAGGGATGGCAGCACACCAGCAGAGGTTGCGCATGTCGCCCGAGAGCCAAACGAATCGGCGGTGCGGCTCGTGGTTGGTGCCGAGGAAGCCGCCCTTCTTCTTGTACTTGAGCATGACGGCGCCCTTTTGCAGCACGCGCGCCGCCTCGAGCAGCTTCCTCCGGATGATCTGGATCCGCTTCATCCTCCAGATGGACTGCAGCACGCGCACCGCGAGCAGCGCCATCCGCAGCGCCCTCTGTGGCGGCTTCCCTCGCGCGAGCGCCTGCATCCGGATGAGCGCACGGAGTGGCGCCTCCTTGAATGCCAGAAGCTTCAGTCGCGCCAGTCGCATTCGCGCCGCCGCCTGAACCCGCGTGGCAGAGAACTGCCTCAGCGCCTCCCTCTTCCGCGCATTTGCGGCAATCACCATCCACCGGGCTCTGGCTTCCTTCCATTCCAAGTGTCGGGTGCGGCACGCGCGCATCCGCGCGTAAGCCTGCAGAGAGAGCACGCAGGCTTACGCGCGGATGGCGCGCGCGCACCCGACACCCGCAATGGAAGGAAGCCAGAGCCCGGTGGATGGTGATTGCCGCAAATGCGCGGAAGAGGGAGGCGCTGAGGCAGTTCTCTGCCACGCGGGTTCAGGCGGCGGCAAAAATGATACTGGGG